TGCCTGGACCTTTGCCTTGTACCTGGATTATCCCTCTTGCCTTGCCATCAATATACCTGTTTGCCATTTTCTGACCTATGCCTGTTTTTGACCACGTCTCTGTTAATAAAGCCTTGCAGATGGATCCGCACGCTTCCTGTGTTCCCTCCGTAACAGTAATAGATTCTGGGTACAGACGTCACATCATATCACATATATTTATTCATCCACATACTATAATGAGGCTCTTCTGAGGATCCTCACCTGATAATGAAGCTCCTTTTCATTTCACAGGTTTCTAAGATTTAGACCAGGATGTAAAATGCATACCAGTGTGCTTTGTAGCAGCTCTAAACAAAGGCTGTTCACGATCTAGTCTGAAAGGAGAAATCAGAAGAGAAAATAATTAGTGTTGGCTGTGAAGAATTGCAAATTAGTTACTATATTTCAATTTAAAAAGTAAAATGAAGTGTCACATTAAATCAAGATTCTTAAAGTTAGTTACTTAATTAGTTACAACACACGTCTAAAACAATATTTGGGTTTTAAATATAATCCATTTAAAACATGAATTATGTTCAAATGTTATTATGACTGCAGAAGAGCCTGTGACTCCTATTGAGTCACTGTAAAGAGAAACACATGCTGATGAGTTTATGGTTTATGTGATTGATGACAAAATGCAAATACAAATGATATTCTGAATTAAAATGAAAACCTTTGAGTAAAACTTTCACTAGTTAAAGCTGTTTGTCCTCTAGTTTAAACATTGCTTTTATTGGTCTTAGTAAATAATGTTAAATAATGTAAATAATGTTGCTTGTCAAATGTAAAAAATAATAATACAAATTAAAGTTTTGAATGTCAGATTTGTCCTGACACAAACTCTTCCAATAAAGCTTAATACTGTCACAGCCAGTTGTTGGAGTGCCAAGCTTAGCCACCAGAGGGCACTCTTTTTGTGTCATTGTTTGTGTGTTCTGGACTGCGTTTCCCATAACCCTTTGCACTCATTATTGGTTCATTACTGCCAGCTATTAATCATTGACTCATTAGCCTCACCCTATATATACCTTGTTCATTTTGTCTTTAGTTGCGTCAGTATTGCATTCTGTTCCTATCTTTGTTTCCTGTTTTTGCTCATGTGGCTTATGTTTTTTTTTGGACTCTGAGAATAAAACTGTGAATGGATCTTTTGTGTGAGCATTCCATGACAGAATACAGACTCCACTTCAATATCCAGCAGGTTTTGTTTTTTCCTTTTTTTCCCCTCTTCTGATGTGTTTTCGGATTACCCGACCTGCCACATGGCAGGAGAGAGCTGCTCGATTTAAGGCTCTCACAGGGTTGCGACAAGAGGGCGGGGATGCAGGGGCCTTTGCCCAACTCTTCTGGAATTACTCTGTGGGACTGGGATTCAATGACGGGGCACTTAAGGATTTCTTTAATGGATGCCTTGACGATCCCTTGTCCCATTGGGAGATGAAGGGACTCGAGACCTTGAATTTTTGGGACTTCACCTGGTATCTTGTTCAGCGAGTTCAGTGGGTTAAACCAGGTCAACAAGAACCCTTTGTAGGGATTTTACTACCAGTCTTGGCCCTCCTACGGCTACTGAGAAGAGGAGGGCGAGATGGAAGAGGTCGGTCAAGTCCAGTGGTCCTGGAGGACCCGATGTGGGTGGTCTCAGAGATCGCCACAGAAACCACTCTAGTTGTGGAATGGTTAGAATCCACCTCAGAGCCCGCTCCAGTCCAGGAGCAGTCAGAGTCCCCTCCAGACTCCGCTCCAGTCTGTGAGTCCTCAGAGTCTATTCTAGAGCCCGCTCCGGTCCAGGAGAGAACAGAGTCCTCTCCAGAGTTTACTCCAGTTGATGAGCGACCAGAGTCCACTCCAGAGCCCGTTCCGATCCAGGAGAGAACAGAGTCCACTCCAGTCCAGGAGTGATCAAAGTCCACTGCAGAGCCCACACCAGTCTGTAAGTCCACAGAGTCCACTCCAGAGCCCGCTCAGATCCAGGAGAGATTAGACTCCACTCCAGTCTGAGTTCACTCTAGTTCATGAGCCCTCAGAGTCCACTCCATAGCCTGTTCCAGACCGGGAGCCCTTTAAGCTCATTCCAGTCTACGAGTTCACTCCCGAGCCTGCACCAGACTATGTGTCCTCTCCAGAGTCCACTCAAATTTATGAGGCCACTACTGAACTTATTGTCTGCCCTGTTTTGGTCAAGGAGACCATGGCCGAGTTATATGCCCGTCCTGTTGCAGCCGTTGAGGCTGTTATTAAACTCTTTGTGCTTTTCTTTGCAGTCATGATGGTGTCGTTAGGAGGTCTATTGGTCGTGATAGCCCTGCTGAGGTGGTTATCAGCCTCAACTTTGCTGCCTCCTGCTCTGCTGGCCCCGCCCTTTCCTACTGCTCTGTCGGCTCCGCACGGGTCTCCTGATCTGTCGGGTCTGCCCTGGCCTACAGCTCTGCCGGCCCCGCCCTGGCACTCTGCTCTGCCGCTGTCTCTAATCCCTCTTCCATTACATGGACCTGGCACGCCATCCCTCCCCCTGGTCCACCTCCGTTCCACCTCCCTCCTGAACTTTCTTTACTTTTTTTTTTATGGAGTGTCTGGAAGCTGCTCTTTAGAGAGGGGGTAATGTCACAGCCAGTTGTTGGAGTGCCCAGCTTAGCCACCAGAGGGCACTCTTTTTGTGTCATTGTTTGTGTGTTCTGGACTGCATTTCCCATAACCCTTTGCACTCATTATTGGTTCGTTACTGCCAGCTGTTTATCATCGACTCATTAGCCTCACCCTATATATATGTATATATATATATCTTGTCATTTTGTCTTTAGTTGCATTCTGTTCCTGTGTTGCTATCTTTGTTTCCTGTTTTTGCAGATTTTTTAAATTTTTTTTGGAATCTGAGACTAAAACTGCTAATGGATCTTTTGTGTGAGCATTCCGTGACGAATACGAATTTCTTTTGACTTTTTTTTTTTGAAAGATGTCCCATGTGAAAGATGTCCCATGCTCTCTTTAATACCACAAAGAGATATTTATTCACCTCAGTTCACAGTTTGAGTCTTGTAGCACATGAATGAGCTGCTTCACTGAGTCTCCAATCATGTTGTTTCTCAGATCAAGCTGTTTTAGAAACTGCAGTGCTTTTGCGTTTGTTAAAGCAGAAACGTCTGTAATACCACAGAAATTTAGGCTAAAAAAGACAAACAGAAAGACTGAATCATAAATGTAAACAAACATATGAACAGATACAAATCTGATTTAAACTGTGATTAAGAATTATGATGTTCCTCACCGCAATGTCTCCAGTTTACAGTGTGAATCATTCAGTACGTCACATAAGTGACTCATTCCTGTGTTTTTTATTTGATTCTCACTGAGGTTCAGCTCTCTCAGGTGTGATGGGTTTGATTTCAAAGCTGAAGTCAGGATGAGCCCCTGTTCGTGTGTAATACTGCATTCACTCAAACTGAAGAAAGAAAGAAAATTCATTGATTCAGATCCATGTTAAGCTCGTGTGAGTTCAATGCATCATGTTACATTATTTTAGTTGCCATTACTGTCTTCTTTCACAGCTAATTTGTCAGATTTCAGCACATGAAACAACTGTATAGCCACAAAGTATCAAATGCTTCAGAGTTTAATGTTCTTTATACTGACACACATACTGAACAATCGGTAGCTAATTAGCTAATAGTAATTTTCAGTCTTTCTTTAGATGAGGAAATGCCAGAAGATGTAGCTATAAATGATGTGACATGAGTCTGTTTTCTTAAACTAAAGTAACAGTAAACTTTAACCACACCGTAACTGTTGTACAGTATAATGATACTAACTCTAATATTTCCAGCTTGTATTGTGGGTTCATCAGTAGATCACTGAGGTTTTTCACTCCAGAGTCTCCTAGTTCATTCATTCTCAGGTCCAGTTCTCTCAGGTGTGATGGGTTTGATTTCAGAGCTGAAGTCACAGCAGAAGAACCTTCATCTGTCATATAACAGTATCTTAACCTACATTAAGAGAAATGAGAAAAATCACATTTCATTCGGTTTCATTTAAATAACAAAATATTTTTTTCTTTTATGTGAATATTCTTCACCTCAATCTCTCCAGTTTACAGTGTGAATCCTTCAGTACGTCACATAAGTGATTCACTCCTGTGTTTTTTAGTTCATTCCTACTGAGGTCCAGCTCTCTCAGGTGTGATGGGTTTGTTTTCAGAGCTGAAGTCAGGATGAGACACTGTTTCTCTGTAATACTGCATTCACACAGACTGAGGATAAAAAGTGAAAAGGCAATGAAACAAACACATGTTAAGTTCACGTGTGAGTTAAATTCACAATGAGTAAATACCATAGTACAGTACAATTATAAAAAATAAAAAAAATGTACAGTGTACACAATGTACACAGATAAAATCATTTAAAATAAGCACTACAATGTTCCATTAAATAAGAATTGTACATTTTGATTTCATGGTGACTTTAAGAAACTAAACAATTAATCACACTGTAGCTGCTGTACAGTATAATGATACTAACTGTAGTTTCTCCAGTTTGAATTGTGGGTTCATCAGTAGATCACTGAGGTTTTTCACTCCAGAGTCTCCTAGTTTATTCCCGCTCAGGTTCAGTTCTCTCAGGTGTGATGGGTTTGATTTCAGAGCTGAAGTCAGAGCAGAATAACCTTCATCTGTCATATAACAGCAGCTTAACCTACATTAGAAAGAAAGCATAAAAAGATAGAAGAAAACGTCTCGGGTTACTTTTTTGGAATGCACGCTTCAAACAGCACGGTCAGTGAAGACGAAGAAGGTGAATGATGTGCGCTACCGGCGCCTATTTTGTACTAGTCGCGGCGGTAGTGACGTCATGGCTGTCGCCGGCCAAACAAGTTGGTGTTTTTTCAATGTAAGCTTCAGACACGGGTCACGACGAGGCGTTCCCCATAGCGACCCCTAGAGGACGCAGTTCGAAGTTCCACGAAAGGGAACTATGTATTTAGTAAAGTCACAAAATAAATAAATTAAATCATTTTAAAAAACAGAAAGAGGAAGAGGGTCTGAGTGCCTTTGGATAATTTGTTTCCATGTTTTTACCTTCAAAACAGAAAAAAAAATAAACCGTTTGTTTATCACATATTTGACACTTCTTTCTTCTGTGTAGGTGTTTGTTCTGATCTCTGATCTCATGCATCAAGATCAAAAAAGCTTTTCACCCATTAAAAAAAGCAACGGTGATACAGGGCCATAACCAGAGCTGCTGCCATCATTCTGATGGTGGGGGGTAACATTATTAGGCCTGCACTACTTTATTATACAATATTTTAATTTAGCCTTTTCCTTTAAAGTCCCCCTGTAGTGAAAATCAAGTTTTTTTATGTTGTTTATTTGTCTATGTGGTGTTTTTAATATGTTTTTAGACAAACCGTGTGCCAATCTATTAATCAACACCATTGCTGAGTATTTTCTCCTTAAAACTGTAGTTTCCCAATGGCAGTCCCAAGAAATGCAGTTTGAAACAGACCTTGGTTTGCTACGTCACAATCCAATAACCAATCACGTCAAGGGATCGATTCCCATCACTAGCATGTAAAATATACCAATACCAGCACAAAACCAAAAATAAATCAGAGGAAAAAACCCATGAAGCTGTGGTTTAATGTGAATTTAGAACCGCTAACTTGCATTATAACCCGTGGCAACTGTGTAAAAGTAGCCCGGAGTCAGACCCACCTCTCCC